GGGGCCAGAAGTCGCGTCTCTAGTCTAAGAAGGGTCTGAGATCTAGGGGTCAAAAGTCGTATCTCTACTAGTCTTAGAAGGGTCTGAGATTTAGGGCCCAAAAGTCGCATGTCTACTAGTCTTAGAAGGGTCTGAGATTTCGGGGCCAAAAGTCGTGTCTCTAGTCTTAGAAGTGTCTGAGATTTAGGGGCCAAAAAATTCGCGTCTCCAGTCTTAGAAGGGTCTGAGATTTAGGGGCCAAAAGTCGCGTCTCTAATCTTAGAAGGATCTGAGAATAGTCCTCGGTCAATGGGTATAGCTTCCAGGGTCAGCGACACAACCTGAACCCCTACATGTGAATCATGATGTGATAATTTTTCGACTCTCTTGGTAAATCGAGGGTCAGGCCCAACCCAAGAAAATCCGACTACGAGTCAGAGATTTCTCAGCAGTCAACCACAACCACAGATCGGGTGCACAATCAAAGGCGTAGAGGGCCCCGTAGAGGATCAGGTCTGCATTTGTTCCAGAAGATTCCTGGGTCTACGGGGTCCAGGCACACTAAGGCTGACAGCGAATCTGGGCCGCCCACACGGCGCCCAGATCAAGAAATCTCCACCATCGGAGGAGGCAAGCCGAGGCAGGCCAAGGCCGGTCAATACTACAAAAGAGCGGCCATCCCCAGGGGCTAATTCTTTCTGCCTAACGCTGCTACAGTGCGCAGCTACAGAGTACATGCTACAGTGTGTGCAGCTACAGTTCAGCTGCTACAGTGCACAGCTACAGCGTGCTGCTACAGTGAGTACGCGAGGAGGCAGGGAGGAAGGAGAGAACCACCATAGCTAGAGTAGAGAGAGGTAGGAAAAGGGTGATCAGGACTCGTAAGTGGAGAGAGAGAGAGAGAGAGAGAGAGAGAGAGAGAGAGAGAGAGAGAGAGAGAGAGAGAGAGAGAGAGAGAGAGAGAGAGAGAAGCAGCTTACCATGACTTATCTTGGCGCTAGACATACTGGAGCTGCTGCTGATCACATCAGGAGGTTGAAGAAAGCTGGCACCAACCTCCATAGCCAGCATTGATGCTGGAGGTTGAGCACCATAGCTGGTGCCTGCAGAGAGACTTCATTAGCGACTTTTGGGAGAGACTTCCATGGCTGAGGTGCCCAGTTGTTGAAGAAGGTCCCAAAGGTGAAGAGGGGTGGACGAGCCGATTCAATTGTATTTTTAATTAGTACTCAAACTTCCCTCCCTCTCTCTCTCTCTCTGTTGCCTCTCAACCTTTTCTGGTACCTCACTGCTTATTCTACGATTACATCGAGCGTTCCTGGACTTGTTCTGCATTCAAGTGCATCGTGCGCTGTTCCATTTGCATACATTGGGAATACTTGCACGCTTGACTTGTGAAGCAAGCTTCTCATAATTGACCAGCTCATTGCAATTTGGTCAGTCGATTAAAATCTGCACAGTCACAGGCACCCTCTACATGAGGAGGGGGCCTCTCCAGACCACTTCTACATGAGGAGGGGGCCTCTACATGAGGAGTGACAATACAGCCCTCAGTTCTGTAGAATAGAGAGAGCCTCGTACCTGCGGGACCACCATAAATTATCCTCCACCTTCCCTGAACACCCCACTCAACTCCTTCTCTGGACATATAATCAGGGGGAGGACGTGGTTCGGAATGATTTGCGAAGTGAGACTATGCAGTGTGCGCGATATGGAAAGAAAGGTGCAGCAGGACGCTTGACGATAGCGATACCCAGAACGTGCACGCCAAAGTATGGATGGCAACAAAGGGCGTGAGAGAAGCAGAGGCCCAGTGCAACTGGAGAAGGGTGAAGGAGGCTATTCAACCCCGAGTCGGAACAGCAACAGTCAGCAAGCTTCAGGAAAATATGGTTGGCAAGAGGCAAGAGGCAAGGTGGCTGACACCCACGCAGACAGGCTACAACGGAACAACTGGCATAACTCAGACACAGACACAGAAAGACAGGCAGACAGGCAGACAGACAGACACACACACACACACACACACACACAGAGAGAGAGAGAGAGAGAGAG